CCCGGGGCACTAACCTAGGGAAAGGAGGGTAGTATAGGACAGGAAATGAGGAAAGGGGGAAAAATGAGGGGACACAGATGGCTCCTGGGCAATTAACCTGGGGAAGGGGAGGTAGTATGGACAGGAAATGGGGAAGGGAGAATAATTTAGGGGGCACGATGGCTCCTGGACACATGAACCTAGGGAAGGGTAGGTTAGTATAGGACAAAGAAAGGAAGGGGAATATCTGAGGGGAACAGATGGACCCCTGGACACATTAACTGGGGAAGGTATAGGACGGGGAAGGGGAAGGGAGAATTTTGGGGGGACACAGATGGACCCCGGGACACTAAACCCGGGGGAAAGGTAGGATAAAAGGGGCAGGAAGTGGGGAAAGGGGAGAATATTGGGGGGCACGTGGATCCTGGCCATAAACCTGGGGAAGGTGGGATGTTTGGACAGGAAGGGGGGAAGGGGAAATCTGAAGGCACAGATGGACTCCGGGACGCTGAACCGGGGAAGGGAGGAAAAATTGGAAGAAGTGGGGAAAGGGAGAATACTGGGGGGAAAAGATGGACCCTGGACACAGAACCTGGGGAAAGGTAGGATAGAATAGGACAGGAAGTGGGGAGGGAAAAATAACTGAGGGGACACAGATGGCCCCTGGACACATGAACCGGGGGAAACTTAGATGCAAGTCAATGAGGAGGGGACACAGACGGACACATGAACCTGGGAAAGCTCAAAAACGGCCTCCACGTGACAAAATAATAAGAATAATATTAATGTAATAATTTATAATGTGAGATCGACCCCGTGGAACGTTTCCTTAACCTGCTGTTCCTGTTCCTTAGCAAAAAGTAGGTACCTGGGGTTCTATTCGTATGTAGTAAGTCAGCTAGGTCTGTACTTGTGGAAAAAAAAGAGAAATTATTCTAAAAACTTTTCAGAGATTCATAAGGGAAGCTTCCCCGTTTTCAAACTTAAGTGACATTTCACACGTTATCACAGACTCACACACCTCAGTGACATCACTATATAAACTCAGGACTCACCTTTTGTTACTAAGACCATGACATCCTCAGTTATTTAAGACTCATTGACATAACTCATATTTTGAGATCAGGACATCGTTTTGTAAAAATTCGAAAAGTGATTTCTGTTAGGAAAATGATCCCCCCGATTTCCAAGTGTTTTACTATTTTTCTATTGAGACAATTTGTTTTCCACGTCTAAACTTAATGGGTAAAACTTAATGGGAATATCCTGTCCCTAAGATGCATCAACCATTACGTTTGACGCCGTTCAGAAGGGAAGACTAATTTATTTAAAGTAAAAGCACTTTAAAGGATTTTTTCAGGAAATCCTGATAGAGTAACTGGTAGGGACCGTAAAGGGGACGCCATGATGGCTGGGTCGGAAAAACCCAGAACAAAATTTTGCCCCTTGCAGTGATCAAACTTTTAATTTTTTTATGCCCAGTGTGGGCCCTTTTATCCCGGTGTAAAACATATATCGAAAATATTGTGATGGATTGGTACGAGAATTACACCCAAATAACTCATCTGAATAAGGATAAAATACAACACTTTACCCCTGATGATCCAAATTTACCCCCCAACTTTTCCCACCTTCTTTTAACGTTTGTTTTTTTTTTGTCTTGGGAGGGAGAGTTTTCATATTTTATTTTGTCATACATTTTATTGTGTAATATGTTTCATTATGTAATAAGCTATTTAAAAACATGGAGAAAATATACCCGACACGATGGAAAAGTTACTCACATGCATATAATGCGATTTATTGACAACGTTTCGCCCACTGTTGCCCGTCTTACACCCTCGTCTCCCTTTTTAGCTAAATTGGAAATGAACGTCCTTGTATTTAACTTGTTTGTACAATTTTTTTGTATTGACAAATATGTATTTTATCTGGCTGTATATGGTAGTTATTATGTGTCTGTTTTTGAAAGGCGAAATATATAATAATCCAATCAGCAAAAGTATGGCTAACATAGTTTTTTGCTGTTGTTACCCCCCCATCCCCTGTATATTGGTTAGGTTTTGCCCGTGAGGCCCCCTGACCTACCCAACGTCCAAGCAGGGTAAAGTTTGTTTCTATAATGATACTGGTCTCTGTGTTACTGTACTGGTCTTCTGTGTTACAGTACTGGTCTTCTGTGTTACTGTACTGGTCTTCTGTGTTACAGTTACTGGTCTTCTGGTTACTGTACTGGTCTTCTGTGTTACTGTACTGGTCTTCTGTGTTACTGTACTGGTCTTCTGTGTTACTGTACTGGTCTTCTGTGTTACTGTACTGGTCTTCTGTGTTACTGTACTGGTCTTCTGTGTTACTGCACTGGTCTTCTGTGTTACTGTACTGGTCTTCTGTGTTACTGTACTGGTCTTCTGTGTTACTGTACTGGTCCTTCTGTGTTTACAGTACTGGTCTTCTGTGTTACTGTACTGGTCTTCTGTGTTACTGTACTGGTTCTTCTGTGTTACTGTACTGGTCTTCTGTGTTACTGTACTGGTCTTCTGTGTTACTGTACTGGTCTTCTGTGTTACTGTACTGGTCTTTTGTGTTACAGTACTGGTCTTCTGTGTTACTGTACTGGTCTTTTGTGTTACTGTACTGGTCTTCTGTGTTACTGTATTGGTCTTCTGTGTTACTGTTCTGGTCTTCTGTGTTACTGTACTGGTCTTCTTTTTACAGTACTGGTCTTCTGTGTTTTCAGTACTGGTTTCTGTGTTACTGTACTGGTCTTCTGTGTTACTGTACTGGTCTTTCCCGGTTACTGTACTGGTCTTCTGTGTTACTGTACTGGTTTTTCTGTGTTACTGTTCTGGTCTTCTGTGTTACTGTATGGTCTTCTGTGTTACTGTACTGGTCTTCTGTGTTACTGTACTGGTCTTCTGTGTTACTGTCGGTCTTCTGTGTTACTGTACTGGTCTTCTGTGTTACTGTACTGGTCTTCTGGGGTTACTGTACTGGTCTTCTGTGTTACTGCACTGGCTTCTGTGTTACTGTTCTGGTCTTTGTGTTACTGCACTGGTCTTCTGTGTTACTGTACTGGGTCTTCTGTGTTTCTGTATTGGGCTTCCGTGTTACTGTACTGGTCTTTTTGTGTTACTGCACTGGTCTTCTGTGTTACTGTATGGTCTTCTGTGTTATGTACTGGTCTTCTGTGTTACTTGGGACTGGGCTTCTGTGTTACTGTTCTGGTCTTTTGTTTTCTGCACTGGTTCTTCTGTGTTACTTTTTCTGGTCTTGTGTACTGCACTGGTTTTCTGTGTTACTGTTTCTGTCTTGTGTTACTGTACTGGTCTTCTGTGTTACTGTTCTGGGCTTGTGTTACTGCACTGGTCTTCTGTGTTACTTTTTTGGTTTTTTGTGTTACTGACTGGGCTTTTTTTT